GGAATGGAGCCAAGATCTTGGAGCTCTGGAAATTGCTTGGAAGCTAAACTCAGAGCAGTGTGCCCCCAGTCCATGGGACCCAGAATGTGCTTTGGAGCAATGTGAGGGGAGAGATCCAGAGCACCACCTAGAAATCCCCTCCCTGGAGGAGAATCCCCTTCAGGGATAACAGTATCCAGTGGGGTTTGCCCCTTACAGTTGGTTGGGAAATAATGACTTAGAAGTAACTATTTGATTAAGAAATTAGTGCTTGAGGATTCTCATAACTAGCTATCTCTTGGCTATTTAAAAGAAAAGGCAGAATGGGTTTTACTTAGAAATTCTGTGTCTTTTTGTGTGTGTCATTTCATGCTGGGGCTTCCTAGAACAAATAACCATGTTGTTTTATTCCTAGAGCAATAATCCATGACACATGGGTGTTTAATCACAAAAATGTCAAACTTTATCTTTGAAACAAAATAAATGGTTGAGTATCGTCTTTTCTCATTTATTGTAAAATACGTTATCTACACTACATCTTGGTAAGCATCCGACTCTCCAATCTTCTTGATATTTAAAACAGGTGAGTAATTAATTTCTGAGCTTGGTGTATTTCCTCTGTAGGAGATCATATGCTTACTAACATTCTGGTATCACAATAAATCCTAAAAGCTAAACCTCAAAAGCTGTAGACTTCACTAGATAAACATCTGCTGTTGTAATGGTGTTTTAAACTGCAGAGTTGCTATTTAAATATTCTTAATTCTTTTCATTTTTATAATTGAGTGGCTGGGAGGATAGTAAAGAGCTATAAGGAATAGTCACCTAACTTTCTTTCTTTCCCCCCGACCCCGTTTCTTCCTCTACGTAGTCAGAGTTCCCACACCTGACATGCCTTCTTCATGTAGTGACTATGAGAACTGGAAGGGAGAAGAAATTGAAAAGCTCTCCAAAGTTCTGACGGGACTGCCCTGCAGGAGGCTGTATTTTGTTGATTGCTTACTCACTCTTCAAATGCTTCCCTTGCTCAAATTTCATGAATGTTACATCTGTTCTTTGTTAATGATCCACTGGGAACATGTCTTGGTCATTTCATAAATAATATACATTAAATACAGGTTTACAAAATTAAAGTTATTCATTAGTCATTCACTTAACCAGCAATTCCTGAGCACTTAGTGTAGACCATGCCCTGGAAGTACAGTAATGAACCAGAGTCTAGCATCATATCCTTCTCATGGAACTTAATCTCACTTGGAGGAACAGATACAAGACAGGATTGTGCAGATTGCAATGACTGCTGTGGTCATGGAGGGCCACATGGAGGAAGTGGCATTTGAGCTGAAGCCTGAGGGATGAGAACAAGCCATACATGGAAGAGCTGAGGAAGAACATTCCAGGCAGATCTTAGCAAGAACAAAGGCCTGGAGGCTGGAAATAGAAAGCAACCAATATGACTATCAGGTGGGAGCTAAGGGGAAGAGCAGAATATGAGCATAGTCTGGACCAGACCAGATCACATTTCCAAGTGGAAATGTGGTTCCCTCTTGAGGAAGCATCCCAAATTGATACCCCTATCCTTCTATGAGGTGGGGCTGAGTAATCTGCCCCAGATTCCGGTGTGGGTGAGTGTTGGTGGTACATGGATATGTGGAAAGGCTAGGTAACCAGCCCAAGGAGCACTGGTGTCCAATGATGACATTTCCCTGCAACAGTACTTGGGGGCAGATACAAGGGTATGTGACCCAAGGCCAGTTTGTTAGGCCAGTATTTGACCCAGAGAAAAAGTAATGTTAGTTCGCTCACTTTTCTCCTGACTTCAGTATGTACGGCTCTTCATGTAAACCAGGACCTACTTGAGATAACTCTGATGCTAGGTACCAGGCTACACCAAGAGAAGACCTTTGGCTCATGGGGCCAGGAAGCTCACTCTACAGCCCACTGCAGAAGATGACGGGTATCCAGCACTTCAGAGAAGATGGCAGCCCATGATTCCAGAGCTTCCCCTGCCCTGCCTTCTGTACAGAGCCCTGAACTGAATAACAGGAAGGGGAATGGGAAGAGAGACCCTCAGGCCACCAACTCCTAGCTCAACATTTCCCAGGAGGGGAAGATAATAGATGATGTCTACTGATGAAACATTTCTTTCAATCTTTACAAGACTCTTCTGAGGTAGGCCTTACCCGAAAACTGCACTCCCATCCTGCACATCCACGTCCTTGTTTTACAGTCAGGAAATAGAAGGATGAGAGGCCAATCAACTCGCCCATATCCATATGGCCAGCAAGTGATAGAAATAACATTGGAACCCAGGCAGTCTGATTGCAAGGTCACGGGTGTTAACCACTACACTCTCCTATTACCCCGCTGGTAACTGGACAAGCCCACTTTTCTTTCTGGATCTAGCCTCCATCTATCCAGTAATAGGGGCAGTATGGTGTTTTCCTCAGTGTGGGAGGCACATCTGAGGCGATGAGAAAGGATTTCCACGCCTTACATACATGGCATTAAGTAGTACTGATCTACACAATGGAAAGGTGATTGCCTTTTCAAGTCTCTTTTACATCTTCCAATGATGTTAGAAAAAGAAACGTTTGATCTGATGCTGGCATATCTTTGACATTTCTCTGGCACGTGCCGATTTCCATTTTTAGAAGAGATTTCCATTTTTACTAAGCTTCAAGAGGCAGGGTCTTCTGTAGGCAGTGATTTCTAGCTGGAATTTACTAGCACTATTGTATTCTCATTGTTACCTTCTATTGTTGCTCTCATGATTTTATTTTTCTTGGTTTTTTAAATGATTACTTCTACTTCTGTAAAGTGTCCATGTTGCTATTGTTACAATTCTCTTGTCCATTCCTGCATGGTTGTAAGATGGCCTCGGAAGCACTTGTTATCATATCCACACTTGAATTGCAATAAGGGGGTAAGGGCAGGTCTCAGCTACTTTTGCCTCCTGTTAACCAGAAAAGCTAATGAATTATAGAGGCATTGCATTGATCAGAACATGTCATGTGGCGCCCTGCAGCAGCGCAGTAGAGGGACTAAAAAAGTAGGTGTTTGGCTGGGCCCATTGCCACCCCGAACTAGTGAGGATTCTATCAGCAAGAAAAGGAGATCACTACTCTGTAGAGATCATTACTCTGTAATCAAAGAGTTTGCCATAGGCTGGTAGGCCTCTGTAACTTCTCCTTAGTGCCTGCAGAGGACAAGTGTGGAGCTGCAGGAGGATTTGGGGAAGTTAGCAAAAAGCCGATTTTTCCCTTGTTTGCTCCCAAGAGACCTCCCTTCCCCATAGTCCGTCACAGCTCCTAAGGGATGGCATGAACAGGAACAACAATATTTCCACACACTCTTACAGGGCTGGTGACAAAATCATATGGATTTGTCCCACTTGCTAGTATGGCTCAAAGCAAAAGAATCCCCGCTTTTGCAGTCTCTAGTCTGAGGAAGATACATTTTGTTAAGCCCACACACCCCTAAATGCCTGTCCCGAAACTAGCTTTGAAACCTTATAAAATCATAGTTTTTGTGTATGTTTCTTACTATTTCAAAAACTGCTTTTTCTCATTAATGTTTTGATTCAACAAGCATTTAATGATAGACCACACTTCCACAGGTGCCTGCCCGGGGGCTGAGGATATAAGGCTGAACTAGACACATATGGGGCATATATCCCAGTGGCAGAGGCAGACAAAATCACACAGAGAAGCAGGAGAGCAAGATTATGAGCTGAACCTAGGAGACAGCCTTCCGGGCTTCAGTACAAAATTTGTTGCTTCCCAGCTGTGTGGCTTTGGGCAAATTACTTACATCTCTGCTCCTCAGCTTTCCCACCTATAAAACAATGGGGGTAATCATAGTACTTACCTCATAGGGCAACAGTGAGACAACTTTCTGGCTCATAGTGAAAAAAAACAGCCTCATCAGAGGGGCAGGAAGCTAAGATACAGGGTCTTAAAAAATAAAAAATGGGCTCAGGTCATGATCTCGGAGCAGTGAGATTGAGCCCCATCTCAGGCTCTGCACTCAGCAGGGAGCCTGCTGGAGAGTCTCTCTCCCTCTGCGCCTCCCCTTACTCTCTCTCCCTCTAAAATAAATAAATAAATATTTTTAAAAATAAAAGCTAAAAAATGGGGATGACAAATTAGTATCTACCTAATTTGGTGGCTATATGTCGTACATGGCTTAATTCCCATCAAATGCTTAAAATGGTGTCCAGTATGTAGTAAGTGCTCAATAAATGCTAGCTGTTATCCTGTTTCAGGCACTGAGTGTTGACTGGATGCTGTGCAGGGTTACATAATTTCCCTAAAGACACTGATGAATCCTCGAGGCCAATTTTAACAGACACTGTTGCTACATTCTTGTTGGTACAGTTAAAGAGTTCCTCCTTCAGACACCCATTTAAAGGAATATTCGCCCAAAGATGCATTTGTATGAGGTAGAGAATCTGGCCCTAGGCATGAAAAACACTTATGATTTGAGGATAAAGTACAGTAAGGTTAAGGTTGTAGTGGGTTCACCAGCGTGAGCTTGCAAAACCCTGACAGAGCAGCTCACAGGCATGATTTCTCATTCTCCTGCCCCCTCCTGGCCCTTCATTAGAACACCCAAGACTGGCTAGTGGATCAGCATTTCCAATAAAGTAAAAAGGGGAAAATACAGACCTGGTTGTTCATGGAAAATATTCTAACTCTCACAACTAGAGCATCTGTCTTAAAAAAAAAATTATGGTTTTAAGATCTTTAACTTTTCCTTCAGCATCTCGGTACCCAACTTTTGAAAAGCATCTTTTCTGGGGAATGACATTTCCCAGCACAATGTCACATAGTCTTTGCCAAGTGACTCAGTTCGACGTATACATGTATATTTTCAATGTCAAGTGACCCAATCTTACATAGGAAAAAGTGGGCACCTGGTATCAGTTTGATGTCAGGGTTTTCCCAGGTTTGCAGGGGAACTTTAAATACGACTCCATCTCAAGGCATCTGCAAGCCGGCTTGCACCTCTGTGTCAAGATGCTCCTGCCCGTGGTGGTCCTTGCCTCTGCCCTGCTCCTCTGCTCCGTGACCAGCCAGAGTTGTCCAACCTTCATGGGGATCAGGGATGTCACACACCTCATTGACAAACTGCAGGTAAACAGCAGAGCGGGGCGCCGGCAGGAAAGGCAGCTGTTGAAAATTTAGGTGAAACGTTAGAATGAAAAACTCACCACCCATTATGGGTTCTTGTTTTTCTACTTACTTTAGGAATATCCAGCTTCAAAATGCAGCTGCAGCCGCGCCAATGTGAGTCAATGCTCTTTTAAGAACTTTCCAGGGGCACCTGGGTGGCTCAGTGGGTTAAAGCTTCTGCCTTCGGCTCGGGTCATGATCCCGGGGTCCTGGGATCGAGCCCCACATTGAGCCCTATATCGGGCTCCCTGCTCAGCGGGGAGCCTGCTTCCCCCTCTCTCTCTGCCTGCCTCTCTGCCTACTTGTGATTTCTGACCGTCAAATAAATAAATAAAATCTTAAAAAAAAAAAAAAAGAACTTTCCAAACTTACTTCCGTGCTTGCATCGGGCATCCTCACTCTGGAATTTTTCCTTTGCAGGTGACCGATTGTTTGTGTCTGACCATTCCTTCTGTAAGTATAGTAAAACAACATAATCTTGACCTTGTATTCTTTAGAAGTTTCAAGTAAAAATGAATTGCTCTATTTGATCTTTTAAGTAAGATGTTACTCGATTGTAATTGTTACGGCTCAGTGTTTCCTTTTAAAAGCAGCCTCCTGAAATTCTATACCGTCTACATCACTTTGTATCTAGTCAGCTTTATGTCCTTTCAGAAGTTTGAACACTCTTCAATCCTTTAAAAAGAATCTTGTATGTCTTTTAAGATTAGTGGCCATGTGCACAGATAAATCACACCAGAGCTGAGAATATCAGAATATAGCTTATATCATATTGCTTACTGATTTATTCCCTAAAACTCTAGAATTGCAAAATGAGTAAGTAAAAGTAACTCTTTTTCTTTCCTCTTGCATGAACTATCCAGGTGCTATACCTTCTCTCCCCTTCCCTCCCTTCTGATCTGTCTTTTCGGCTGATGTAGGGTGGCTGTTGCAGTTTGAATGCTGGAAGGTTAGGGTTTCTAAGGCAGAGGGGAAGTGAAAAAAAAGGGTTCCGGACGTATTCCCCACGTAGGCAAAGAGGAAGAGTGGCAGAAACTTTCTGGTTTAGGTGAGGAAGGAAGCAAACCCTGGGAGAATCTGAGCTTCTCACCTTAGCTGGGGTCAGATATCACAGCCCATCAGGGGGCATCCCTTCGATGAGATGAGTGTGGGGTGCCTTCTGAGGATGGACCATGCATCTGAGGATGGACCAGACCCTCCGTTTATGGTCCATGATTTTAGTTCGCATGAAACACCGGCTCTATTCATTTGGCACATTCCATCAGACTGGTATGAGAAAGCTTTTCCTCTCTCTCTACTTTGGACCTTACTATTACAAGACATATAGCAGAGGAACATCAGGGGCCAAGGAGACTAGAACTAGTTTCCCATCCATAGGCTTTGTGTTCCTTGGATGGAACCTACTAGAAATCTCCAAGGAGGGTCACTGAGGAAAAATGGTCTCACCTTGAAATGCTGATCATTTCCTAGACTGGGAAGGGACCTGTCTAAATACAATACCAGTTTAGGTTACATTGGTTAAGTTAAAATAGTGTCTGAAGGCATTCTTTTTGTGATTCTTCTCAAAGTGGTCCTCAGAAGGTTTCTTTGAATCAATTCTTTTTATTTACCAGGACAACTGCACCACAACGTGCTTCCAGGAAGGTCTGTCCCAGATGACCAACTCCACTGTGGGAACAAGATACACCCTGATTTTCAATCGAGTAAAAAGAACAGTCCAAGACCTAAAGAAAAACAAGTGCCAGGTGACTTTGTTTTTATCTGTGATACGTTCTGCTTAGTTGTGTTTATGTGAGGGTCAATGACAACTCTATCGAAATGAAAAAGGAAAAGGGATGATGAACTTGGAATTGGTAGCTCAAGGTCAATAAGAGGACTCTAAGAAATTTACCCAGACTGACAAAAGTAAAGTGAGATCTGCCCCAGATAGTCCATTATTCCCTTTAGTTTTAAAAAATACTCACAACCATGTTGCCATTCACTTCTCTTGAATGATGAAAGCATCTGTCCTGATTATAGTAAGAAGCTGAAGTCTGGAGGATCAGAGCTGTGTCTCAAAGGATGCTAGCTAAGTTATACTAGGGCACCTTCTCTTCTTCAGCATATGCCCTGGTCCCTGGAGGGAAAGGTGGGTGGGAACTCCTTGGGATTTACCATCTCCACAACTGTCCCCAGAAGGCTGAGAGCCCTTCCTTCAACTACTTACTGAGCTACTTACCATCAACAGCACTGGAGTTCTAAATGATTAATATTTACTGTTTCATTGCAATACCATTTCAATGACAATTGTTTCAACAATCATTTATCACCCTCACTTTATGAGAGGAGGAAACAGAGAAACAGATGCTCAGTGAGATTAACCAATTTGCCTAAGGCTAGATACTTAATGTGGGGCAGAGTTGAGATTGGAAGTCTGGTTTATCTGACCCCAAAGTCCCACTCTTAGCCATGACCTTGGAAGGACAACCAAAAAGGATAATAAAACATTAAGAATCAAATAATCCTGAGTTTTCCTCTAATGAGATTTAGGACCATTTGATGGGAGTGTGTGTGTGTGTGTGTGTGTGTGTGTGTGACACCCCAGGAACAGTAGCAGAATGTTAGCCACCTGCACTGTCTATGCAACATGCTAGCCCCAGACCTTCCCAAGCATTTGCCCTCTGTCTCAAGCCCCTGCTGCCTGCATACCCCGCCCCACCGCACCCCTACCCCACCTCAGTACTCTAAGCAGGGTGATTCCTGGTCTACACTATTCTAGTCACTCTGTCTTCGCTAACTTTTCTCCCCACAGTTTTTTTCCTGTGAACAGCCATGTAACCAAACCACAACAGGCAACACACTGACGTTTCTGCGGAGTCTCCAGGAAACTCTTCAGAAACAAAGGGCGATAGGCAAAGTCTGAAGATGAAATATTATTTATGCTATTTATTGAATGAAAAAGCCTCCTCTTTAATCTGGGGCCATTAAAAAATCAAGTAAAGCCATGCTAAATCAGAATCAGTTGTAATTAACTTGTTTAAAATTGTATTTTATTTTGGAATAAATATATATGAAGAAAAAGAACACCATCTGGTCTCCAGGTGCTTATTTGCTCCTTGCTGCTCAGAAAAAAAGAAAGCTACAAACACCATGAAGGGACTGAATGGATCAAGGACTCCTGTAATAACAAGATTCCTTATCCTGAGCAGACTGGGAGACCCACTGCCCATGCCTGGGGACACAGAGGTCACAATTAGGAGTGGTGTGTGGGGTTGGTCGGAGGGCTGCTCTCAGGGAGGCTCAGGGCACCCTCCTTGTGCGTGCTGGGGGAGGGAGGCTCAGGGCACTGCCGAAGAGTTCAGGGTACTGAGAAACCACCTGTGTACCTGAAACGGGAGAACACAGTGTGGGAAGCCCAGGAGGTAGGAGCCTACCCGGGAATGTGGGCACCTACACACAGAAGATAGCAGGGTTTGAAACTAAGCCGGGGAGACCCACAGGGCAGACTCTCTGAGTTAGAGCAACCCAGGGATCAACAGTCACCTATTCACCCCCAAAGACCTTCCACTAGTGCCCACCACATGCCGGGCAGCGTGCCCAGCCAGGGTGCAGAGCCTAATGGGGACTCTCCCAAAGGGATCCTTGGACTAGGTTGTTGACTTGGCATATGGGGCTCTCTCTGACATTACTTTTTTTTTTTAAAAGATTTTATTTATGTATTTGACAGAGAGATCACAAGTAGGCAGAGAGGCAGGCAGAGAGAGAGGGAGAGGGAAGCAGACTCCCTACTGAGCAGAGAGCCGGATGCGGGGCTCGATCCCAGGATCCTGGGATCATGACCCGAGCCGAAGGCAGAGGCTTAACCCACTGAGCCACCCAGGTACCCCTCTGGCGGTATATTTTTATGTCAGCTTGACCAGGCCACAATGTGCCCAGATATTTAACTAAACATTGCTTCGGGGTGTGTCTGTGAAGGTGTTTCTGGGTGGGGTTAGCGTTTGAATGGGTATACGGGCAGCGCAGCTCAGTGTGGATGGGCCTCATGCAAATCCACAGGGGCCTGAAAAGGCCAAGGAAGCATTGGCCCTCTCTATGCTGACTCCATGAGCTGGGACACTTGCTCCAAGTGGACTGGAACATACACCATCAGCTCCCTGGCTCTCAGGTCTCTGGACTCATATTACTCCCCCACCATCTGCTTTCCTGGGCCTGGAGCTTGCAGAGAGCAGAGCATGGGACTTCTCAGCCTCCTTAATGGCATGAGCCAATTCCTTATTATCTATCTGTGTGTCTATTGTTCGATTTCTCTGGAGAACCCTAGCTAATACACTATCCACCTGACTTCAATATTCAACTTGCCCCTTCCCCCAGGAGCCCAGATCCTATCTTCTATTCCATGGTACTGACTACCTTCTAAGATGCTCTGGCATTCCTGACTTGACCATGTTTGTTTTTTGTTGTCTGTCTCTCCCTGCCCAGATGTCAGCTCCCTGAGGGGAGAGAACTTCCTCAGCTCACTGTTGCAGCCCAGATGCCTTTCCTGAGCCTGTACTCCTTGTATGCCAGAGCAGAAACTCCATAAATACAGACTGACTGAATCAAAGACTTTCAAGATGCAGAAGCAGAGTATGAACTGGTCGGGCGGTCAGGCATGTACTCACCTAGAGAAGACATGGCGACACACTTGATGTGCTCACAGAGGTGAGGTCCTTTCACAGAGCTCCACGCTGGCCCCAGGCTGGGGTTCACATAACCTGGCCACTTGGGAGGGGGCCCTCTGCCAGTAACTTCCTGCCTGGCTCTGTGGGATTGACAGGGTGGAAGCAAGGTTAAGGCAAGGGTCTTGGGGTTAGGATGGTCTGACTATCACAGTCACCCCACCACCTGAAGGGTTAGAAGCTTGGGAAGAGCTTACAGGAATCTACCATGGGAAGTATTTTTCCAGATACTGTCAAAATCAGAATTGCTTCTCCTCTCTATTGAGCTAGAACACCCTTGGGTACTTTTGATGACAATAATACGGAAAGTTCAGAGCATCAAGATTTCCTCAAGGAGCTTCACTCGGCTTTTTGTTTTTTCTTTTAATCAGATATGATGTTAAACAATATCAGAACTGACCTTATTTCATTTTTTAAAAAAGATTTGTTTATTTTAGAGACAGGCAGAGAGAGAGAGGTGGGGGAAGGATAGAGGGAGAAAGAGAGAGATTCTTTTTTTTTTTTTTTTAAAGATTTTGTTTATTTATTTGACAGACAGAGATCACACGTAGGCAGAGAGGCAGGCAGAGAGAGGAAGAAACAGGCCCCCTGCTGATCAGAGAGCCTGATGCAGGGCTTGATCCCAGGACCCTGAGATCATGACCTGAGCCAAAGGCAGAGACTTTAACCCACTGAGCCACCCAGGCACCCCAGAAGGAGAGAGATTCTTAAGCAGACCCACAGCCCAACACAGAGCCCAGCACAGAGCTCGATCTCACAACTCTGAGATCACAACCAGAGCCACCAACACCGAGAGTCGAGTGCTTAACCACCTGCACCACCCAGATGCCCCAGAAGTGACCTGTCCTTTAAAAAGCCCTTATGGCGCCTGGGTGGCTCAGTTGGCTAAACCACTGCCTTCGGCTCAGGTCATGACCTGCATTGGGCTCCCAGCTCTACGGGAAGTCTGCTTCTCCCTCTGACCTTCTCCCCTCTCATGCTCAGTGTCTCTCTCTCTGTCTCAAATAAATAAATAAAATCTTTAAAATTAAATAAATAAATAAATAAAAAGCCCTTGGCCAAAGTTACGATTCTCTGACACTCTAAGTAGCCCTGATCCCCAGAGTTGTCCAAACACTTTAGGGATGGGAGGCAGGGGGGATGGAGAAGGAATTTTTAGCAAGGACTGCCTCACTCAGGGGGGCTGGGCTATCTTCTGGAGTGCAGAAATTATGGGTCCCTGGGGACATCCAATTGTAATTGTTTTAATCTTAGTTTGCACAGAAAGAAACAAGTCTCTCAATGATTTATTTATAGTGACATGAAGACGAAAGGGCCAAAACCGGATTTTCTCAGTCAAGAGGCTTTCAGAAGGGGACCCACAGTTTAGCCTTTGTTCTCTCTCAGTGCTGAAGGCCATAAGCAGTTTGTAGTGGACACAGACCTTAAGACAAGTAGACAGTCGTCACAACTTGTTGATCCACCTGCTTCCCAAGAGAAGTGAGAAATATCATGTAGCAGTGGTGGGTGGGTGGACCGGGGACATTGGGTCTGCCAAGGAGAATTCCTGAGCATCTCCCATAAGAGTGGGTACCAGACTTCATGTTCCACTCCGACTGTTTATAATAGTATATCCCAGCATCTCCCACATGATTTTTTCCCCGACACTGGAAGTTCTGAGTACTAAACATCCTCAGCACCCTCCCTCTTTCTACACAGGGCTCCTCAAGCTGGGTGCTGTTCCTGCCAGGCACCCAGAGCATGGAATCCAGGTGTGGCTACCAGACTCCCTGTCTGGTCTGGGATCCCAGTGCACAAGGCACTGAGGAAAAAGGTCTATCTGGCTAATACATACATTGTTATCTATTCATATTAAGCATGTAATTACTAAGCACTCACTCTGTATGCACTAAGCATGCATTATCTCATTTAAACCCCTAGTAAGCACAGGAGGTAGGGATTATTATTTCTGTTTCATAAGCAAGGAAATCGAGACTCTGAATGGTTGAAGACCTTCCCAAAACCCTATAACTAGTGAGACCTCGAGCACCACCTCTGCTGCAGTGTCTCATCCCAAACCTATTGCTCTCTCCATTCTGTTCCTTTCTTATTTTGTTTATATCAGCTGTGTTTCCTCTGACGATGGTCTAAGGGTAAAACAGATTCATAATAATATGGGCCCACACTCCCTGATTCCAAAACCTGAGGACCAGATAGTTTTCAGAATTGAAACTCTTTGGCCTTCTAGAAAGGGAACACATAGCTCACATGCTATGAATTACATAATCCCCAGAGCAGGGCCCCCGGGCAGGATTCTATAATGAAATACATTAATATTCTGAAAAAAAAAATCCACTTGAGCTGTCACACAAAGTAGTCAGGTTTTGCAGCCAATGAGTCTCAGCAAATCCTGGGCTTTCAGAACTGTTTGGATTTCAGAATTGTGATAATTCCCTAGTCCTGGCCCCACTTACAGAAGGGGGGGGAAACTCCCTCCCAAGGGCTTATCTGGGGCCAGGCTGGCCATCTCCAGGAGGGACAGAGGCTTTATGGCCTCCCGGGTCTTGGCCACAGGGCCTTCTCTCGTGTCCTCCACTTGGCTTTTCTGAATGGCCCCAGACAGGCGTTTCCCAGTGTGGTTTACAGCCTGAGGCAACTGGGGCCTCCCCCTCAGCAGAACTCACCCTGTACGGGGATCAGAGCGAGGACAGATGCTGGTGGCTGGTGATGACTTCGGAATAGCCTGCCGGAGACGATGGGCCCGGAGATGAGCTGCAATCCACTGTCACAGATGAGTCACCAGTGTCGTCTGGTGGTTTCCCTCAGCTGTTCTGCAAAAGTCACATTAACCCACAGGATACACCCCTGCAGGCCAGCTCAGCCTACAGTTCTCAGGGCCTGTGATGAGGTGTATAGTAATTACTCTCCTGCCTCTGTCAGGAAAGTTGAGATTTATCTAAAAAGCCCCTTGGAGAAAGGAGAAGAAAGAACATGTATTGAGTGTTTACTGTGTACCAAGCATTCTGCTAAGCATATTTTATGGAATATCTAGTTGGATCTTTACAAGAACCTCATGAGGTAGATATACAATTTTTGTATATAGTTATTCCCAGTGCACGGATGAGGAAACTGAGGCCCAGAGAGGTTAGTATACCTTGCCCAGGGCACATGACTCACAAGAAGTGAAGCCAAGGTTCTGACTCATGTAACTGGCTCTAGAGCCCCA